ATTCGATGGTGCTTAGACTGACTGACCGACTGATAGATGCCTCCTCTCTAACGGAAAGCCTCGCTACCCTCTCTCACCAACGAGCCGACGGTGATCTAGCTCTCCTCTACCGCTAGGTAAACGGGCTTTGCGCCTCAGAGCTATGCTTCATGATATCGCCACACGACATGCTAGCCAGACAGACTCGACTGACTTGGCCTCTCATAGTCAGCATGTCGAAATTCGTACATACAGAGCTGGCCAGTATCACCACTGCTTTGTCTCGAGGGTACCGATATTGTGGAACAATCTACCTGAGGAGGTTTTTCCCAGTTCTACTAATCTTACAGTATATTCAGATAAGAGATAGACTGGACATAAACAAGACCACGTGATCATCGAACGCTGTAACATTCGGCAGGGACGTATTAAGAGTCACGCAGTACATATTTTAGATAGTAGATGCTGCTTTGCGTAACTTTGTAGTAAATTAGCACAATTCGATGTGTATACGATTGGTGATGGATATAGGATCATGTGGGGGTGGGGTAAGAAATATATAATGATGTAAATATACATAAGGGTTTCAAAATTTTCGCTTCGATTTCCAGCTTCGGATGCCGTCTGATGTTTGGTGAAATACAGTCGAATATAATCTCAAAATGGCGTTTAAATTAGCCTAAATTAAAAATAATCGTATATCTCTTAAAATTGCTTTTAGAATATTGATTAGTATATTTTTTGATTTCTAGGTAAATATGTAACCAAATTAAAACGTTCAAAACGTAAAAAAATGTGCATGGTTGAACATTGTCAGAAAGTAGATTCTTGAATAGGTTTTGCCAAAATGGGTTCAAAAATGTCAATAATTAATTAAAAAATACAGTAGCTTTATAATTACTTATAACTTACCGAATTTGATGAACGACATCTTTTATTGGAAAGATGAGCTTGATGAGCTTTCATCATCGCTACTGCCTGAAGCACCAACGTCAATAATGAATGGCTCGACTTGTTCCTCTAAAATATTGTCCAGTTCCCACATTCTCTTTTCAACTTTGTCTTTCACGTGCTTAATACAGTTTTCCCATTTTTGCGCTGTTATTAATTCTAGTGCTTCTTTGAAAAGTAATTTGAGGTCACAAAATTTAAAAGTTGTATTGTGCCTAGCTATATAATTTTTAACCTCTGCCCATATGAGCTCAATCGGATTGAGCTCGCAATGGTATGGAGGTAAACGGAGCACAGTTTTATTTTGACTTGCTGCCATTTCGTCAATGGCGTATTTTTGATATTCCGCCTTGTGATCCTTGACAATTCTTAATAATTGTACTTTCAGCATTGCTTCTTCAAAGTTGATATTTTTCGAGCGGAGCCAATTTTGAACATCAACTTTCCTTGAAGCCGTTGTTCGGACCTTCTCCATTCTTCGAGAATGATAAGGCGCATTATCCAACACAATTACTGCGTTTTCCTCTAAGTTCGGTAAAATTTTTGAAAACTACTGTTCAAACGATTCGCCATTCATTTCCTCGTGGTAATCTCCAGTTTTCTTAGACTCAAAGCACCACAGACCGTCAACAACAAATCCATCCTCACTGCCAATATGGCCTATAATGAGCCTTTTCCCTTTACCTGGAAATCGAAGTACTAACTGGTGTAGATTTATTTCAATAAGCGAACCTTTTTCAAATGTTTTCATCACATTCAGCGAAAAAACATTGAGACATGAGTATCAGATTGCTATAATTGGTATTATTTAGTCATATTGAAAGAAAGAATATTGAACGTCGTATGATTACTCAGCGCTTCACAATTTAATTTAAAGTTATAAACCTCTAAAAAATGAATGATCAGGAACCTGAAATACGCGCAAATATTAATATTAACAAATTATAACTTTACAATGCTTAAAGTATGAATTAAAATGATTAGAAATATTAGGAACGGTACACAATATAAAACTTAGTAACTTTTTTTAAGTTTATAATATTCGACATATTTTAAGATTATATTAAAAAATTATTGAAATATCGAAAACACATAAAAACATGGCTTAAAAAAGTTCTAACAAATGAAAATGACAATAAAACATCCACGCATTTTATCGAAAGTTATAAAAGTTTTGTTACATGTAATATGTTTTATCTGCCCCCTGGAATTAATGTTTAGAACCTTGTTCCCAAGGTTTGAAAAACATCCGATTGTTGTCTATTACTCGAATTTGCCTGCTGGATTTTTTAATCCGGTGGACAGTCCATCTAGAAAGGCCTTCCTGGATGAAGTTACAGAATCATCAACCCATACTTTACTTGTAGTGTGTCCTGCGTTTACCCATGTTTCATCAAGGTAATAAATCTTCCTGTTTTGATTTCTATATTTCCCAATTTTTGTTAAATAATCCCTCCTCCATAGCACAATTTCTTCTCTATCCAGTAGTAAACTATTACGACCTCGTTTTTTCCATTTGAAATTTAAATGCTTCAGTAACGCATGGAAAGTTGATCGTTTGAAATATGGCAACGTTGTATCTCCATTTACCTCCTGCAGTACTTTATCTATAGTAGGTATTTCATTCCTAAAGAAGAATTCGTGCACTTTCCTCCTAATCGCATGCTTATCAGCTTCATCCAATGATTTAACAATACTTTTGCGATGTTTACTGGTCATTGGCTCAGAAAAGGTGTGATTTTTTTGTATTGTCTTAACACATTAAACACTGATGCGCGACACACCCCAACTTTGTGAGAAACCTTCGCAACAATTTCTTTGATGGTTGATGTCTCGTTCTCCTCGCGCTCGATCTTATATATATTCAAAATGACTTCTTTCATTTCTGCACTCAGGTGTCTTTTTTTAGAGCGTTTCCTAGGTGGACTACAGGAGTTTACAACTTCATCGGCAGTATCTGTACTACTGGGCATTTTGCGCAACCAGTTGATAACAATAACAATCAATAACAAGGTATAACAATAACAACGACAAACTCAACAACTTAATAAGGTAACAAACGAAAACGTCCAAAGAAATATCAAATTGCAATGATGCACACGACATACGTAACACGTCTGAACCTGAATGCGACTCTGCCTTGATATGACTGCTCTGCCGCTCGGCATAGGCATTTAATTGCGAATTGACTAATGAGGGCTCCTGTTTTACGTCGAGACGGCGGCGCTAGCGTGGAAATCACCCGAACCTTTTGTTTACATCCAGTCTATCTCTTATCTGAATATACTGTAGGCAGTTCACAAATTGGATCATCAAAGTTTCTTCAAGCAGCTGCGGTGCCCTGATATTTCAAGCTTCTGCCTACGCGTCTGCTTCGGTATAAAAAGGGATGTGGTATTGGACTTAACTCTGACAGCCTGTCAGTGTGCTATTTTGAAAGATGGCGTCAGTTAAAACGAGATATCGCATGACACTCCACATCATTCAAAAAGATGTTCCAAGATTGCCGCCATTTAGGAATTTAGCACTGCATTTATATGCTAAAATATAGCATTCATCCTGGATTACAGATTGCTAACTTGAGTCATTCAAAACATAAGTAAAGATTGGAGAACCTTTTGGAAAACACTGTATCTTATGCATGTAATAACTATTCTACATACGTGATTTATGGGTAGATAACTTTGAATGTAATCAAGCGAATAGCTGCAAAACAATATAATTGGTTATGATCCACCATTTATCCCGCACTTTATATTTATTCGCGTGTAATTAAGTGAATCTGAGTTACAGATCCCTTTGGGGAACTATACATAAACTAATGAGACAGATGGCAGATGCAGTTGAAGTTGTCAAAGCAAAATCAACAAACTGGGGTTAAGAAGATCACCGCCAAGCAGATTCCTTAGGGGATATTAGGGAACACACATCATAAAAGTACCGTACCCAGAAGTGTTTACATGAAAATTAATTTTCACATGCAAACCTTCTCTTATAAAATACTAGCCCGAACCCTCTGCGCACACGGAAGTAGTATGAAGTATATGTCATTTCTTTGAAGAAATGCAATATTCAAAGTAATGCAATAGCAATGGACATGTTTTATTCAACATCTTGATGCGACAATAAACGAATGACATATGTGCAATCCGACTCACAATAAATAATACATCTCAGAGTCTGGGCGGCATTTCTTACCATATCCTAACCCAATAAATATGTATTCACAATATTATACTTCTGATAAAACAAAACTCGGTAGTATAAATCCAAACAGCATACTATATCGTCAGAATCGACGGCATCAAGCGGTCCCAGAAATGATTCGCCTGTCAAACGTGAACTGATATACTTTACAGTTTCAACATATCGCCGGTGATAGATTCTGGTAACAGATGACACCTTGTGTTGTCTTATTTCGACAGACTGATCCTATTCAGCGAATAAATGATTTCCGTATATTCGTTTTAGTCCTTGCTGTTCCTGTACGCGCAAAACTGTTAATTATTTAAAAATATACATTTCAGGTTTATTTTTAATCTAGCTTACCATACAGCTGTTTATCGTAAAATAGTCAAAAAGGATGTCTTTGTCAAAAAACTGCTTTTGACCACCGATTTTCTAATATGGCGAAAGCAAAAGAGATATAGGGCAGACAAGTGAATATCCTGAGACGGCGATTCCCCACTCAAGCACACAAGACCGTGGTTCGCACTGTGAACAAAATTAATTCGGGCAATTCTAGGTCCAACCAAAATTACAATTTTTCCACACATACAAAATCCTAAATTAACTTTAGATCAATATAAAATTATTAAATACTACTTCCTCCTTTCTTCTTCCATCTTTTCTCCCTAACTTTGTTTGGTATCTGGGCAGCCAAACCTGACAGGACCAATGACCTACAATACTTTAACCAATAGAAAAGGTCCCACGGACCGCTGTAACAAACAACGACGAAACTATTGTCTCTAACGAGACCTTTTCCCCATTTTTGACAACGCTGATTTTTTATATGGGGAGTGCTGAGGAGATTAAGGTCATACGTATAGTGGATAACATGCACTTACCTTGTAGGAATGGTAACAACTTGCACATAATTTCGCCAAAAATGAAATTCCTCAATAGAGCTCCAGTAAGCGTGAAAGGCATACACAGGACCCCCAGCATTAGATCAGAAATGGCTAAGTTTAGAAGAAACACGTTAGTTACTGTACGCATGCGCTGATTCTGGACCTGAAACAAAAAAGTACAATATAGTTTCAGCGACGTCCAAAAAGCGGCGTTAAAATGGAAGGGAATGAGAGATGGAGTCATTTCTAATCATACTACTGATAGGTTTTTCGAGGCGAAGAAATTAATGTATAGATACTATATTTCAGCGTAAAAATTCAGTTCAAGATGACGGTTAGGCGCCATCTTGGAGCTTATTGCTTAAATAAAATGGCGGGTATTATGAGACCCCACTTTAAAGCTGCATATAAGCTGAGCAATCATCTTGTTATTTTCATCTGCTACTTTTACGTTGTAATATAGTATAACAAATGATTTGAGGCTAGATTTTGATATGATTCCTGGCTTTAGTGACACTGTGAAATAATAGTAGTATGGTTGTGTATGGTTCGACGCGTATTCATACCTGAATATAAAAAAGTTCTACATTCATTTTCCACGGATGTAATAGGTTAAGTCATCTAAATACGCTAAGTCATTAGTATCACATATCTCTGGCACTACTGAACCGATTTTGATGAAACTGTGCACAATCACAAATTGTACCAGGTTAGAAAATCCGGAGCCTCAACTTTCTTGTAAATAGTCAATACATGGTGTTTATTGATATATTTTTTTGACACACAACTTAAAATTTCGAACGTTAAAAACATAATTTCATCAACATTTCTCAAAAACGAGCTCAGAATTGATGTAGAGATGTTTTCAGAACTGAGAATTACAGTGCCTGATTCAGTTTTTGATTTCATTCTATGTTATTACATGTGATGTCCTGTAGTTTATAGATATACATAGAATGTATCATTATTTCACAGAAAAAATAATAATAAATAATATAAATAGAAGGCAAAATGAATGTTAATTACCCTATTCACCTTATTCGGTATTTTTTTCATCATTTAATTGTACCAACTGATGCAAAAAAATGAGCTCTGCTTTAAAGATGATAAACGGCATTTAGTGCATTGAATTTGACTTTTAAACCAACTGAAAATTATGATGAAAATATAGAAAAACGCAACATACAGGGACATTATCAGCATAGTTACGTTTAACATGCTCTTACCAAATCCCTATACTACAAGTTACATAATGCACACAAGAGTACATAACACAAGAAAATGTCGAGTCTGGATCCGCTCACTCCGTCTTTGCGGATTTTTAACTCAATTTCAAGCTTGTTTGGAATGTCAATTTTAGTAGATTTGCATACTAAATGCCGTTTCCTTTTGAGACAGAATTTATGTTGATAGAACTCGAACAGGGTGCTTAACATTGATTTCGCCTTTTACTTAAATCATTTATTGCTCCTTTTTATGCGAAACAATAAATTCGGAATATAAGTTACAAGTCGTTACACTTAATCAAATACGAAGAAATCGAAAAAGTGAATCTCGTCCTGAAATTTTCGGTTCTCAAAACATATCTAGAACAATTATAAGCAACATTTTGTGAAATGTCGATAAAACCGGATTTTTAACGTTTCATGTTTTGAGCTTAGTGTTTACATAGACAGGTTAAAATGAAGCATCTGATTGTTTCATTAAAAAACAGAAAGAGTCAATTTCTCTAATTAATGGGATCCATTGATTGGCTTTTTTGTCCATATTCAAACATTTTAATATTCAGCTTAATGATGGAATGCAATAAATTTGAAAATCCCGGCTAAGAATCTTTGTTACCCTGTAAAATTTTATCAAAACCGGTTGAACAGTGTCTGGAATATGGTATGTGATATTAGAGATTTCTGTCGGCCTTCTCCATTGATCGTATTGCTGGGCATTGTATATTTTATGTTGAAGATTGATAACAGGACAACCTAAATTGCTCGTCGATGTCAACTAAGTTTTCACTCTGAAAAATATGATTGAAGGTCACTCATACGTAACGACAAAGTTTTCGAGACGGAGACACACAACTAAAAAACGTATGCCTTTGTGCTTACCGAACAAACGTTCACACACAGGGGTAGTTTGCATGCGGGTGTATGAGGGAGAAGGAGATATATAAAATGATACTGGCAGTCTTACTTTGATCCGCCAAGAACGGTGATCACAACTATAACAAGTAATTATGGTCTCCTAAGACACCAGAAAACGACACTAAACAATTTTTCGGGTTTTATTGTCAATAAACTTTGTAAGCTAGGTTTATGCAGAATAATCTGTTACTCATGAAATAGTCTTATCAAATACCATTTTTACGAACAATAACCAACATGTAGGGCCAATTTATAGATGTAATATTATGTCTTTGTGCTTTAGAATTAGGATAACTGTCATAGAATTTCAAATTTTTATCATTTCAGAAAAACGGTCAGTAATTTAAATAAATCAATGAAAATGAGAGAAATAATAGGTCGATTTTCTAGCTATTATATGTGATAGCATGTTTTCACTGTTTTTGACGCCTGTTCATGCATGGCAATCTAGTTTTGTCTATATATCGCGTACAGGGTGTTGTACATAATATGTAGGGGAGACTCGGGCAAAAGGAACCACTTTAAGTTGTCAACTTTTTAAATCGTTTACTAAATTCTAATTATTATTATTCTTATGGGCGATAAAACTCTATTACATTTAGAAACATAATATAATTATGTTACGAATATATAATTATTGTAATATATCTTAAAAAAACATTAAAACAAAAGTTGCTTTTGATTCCTTTTGCCCACATATGACGGCAAGAAGAACCAATGCCTTGGGCAAAAGGAATCAGCATATGAAATACATATGGGCAAAAAGAACATTACTTCAAACATAACTAAAAGTAGAATTCTATTAACAATTCTTTATTTCAAGGAACTCAAAACTGATAACTTGCATTTGTCGCAAATATAGACACCTCTGTTGTAATCAGCACATAATTGATGAGCCCAGTTTTGACACATATTGCACTCAATCCATGTTTCGCCAGGTCTAGAGTTACCAAAAGTATCTTCACAGACGGGGCATGGTACATTTTCTTCATTGGGGTCCGTTTTATGTACCGGTGGCTTCGGGTACTGCAATTTAGGTCGATCCAAATTTGAACTGCTAGGTTTCTTTGCACGTTTCATTACATCTGGCAATTTGGTCTTGGGTAATTTTTTATTTTTCTGATTTCTCAACTGTTCTCTAATAGGTGTAGATGTTAAAATTTCTGACTTATGTGTTCTACGTTTTCTTTTAGAATCATCCTGTTTAACTATTGGCAAAGGCTGAATTGCAGTTAATGGTATAAAATAATTTGAATTTTCGTAAGTGGATTGGAAGGAGCACGATGGAATAGGAGAAGAACGATTCTCTTTCCCATGATTCTCATTTTCAAGAGAGCAGAGGGGCGAATGAGGAGGTGTGCGATGTTCGACGTTACGCTGTGTGTCTTCAGCAACTTCATGCCTCGAACATGATGGAACTTGATGATGCAGATTGACCATTACTAGCGGCAAGGTTTTGAGCCTTGTTGGCATCATATTCCTTTGTTGTGACTTGAGAAGGAACAAAATCCAAGTCACTAAAAACATCAATATTGCCATCGAGTATTCCTGTCTTTTTGAATCCACTTATTGCATTTTGAGGAGTAGCGCCTTGTAAATAAGCAGATCCAAATATTGCTCCTAATTCGTAGAAAGTAATATGTTGTGCAGGATGTTGCTTTTGCCATTTATCAACCTCTCTTTCAAAATATGTTCCAATGGGCCCATATACCGCAACATCAAGCGCAACACCTCCAAAGATCGATGTGAAATATGATTATCCAATATAAGTAAACATTTATGTTCTGGAGATGGTCTAACAGATTTTACAAAAAATTTCATCCATTCTAAGAAGATATCACTAGTTATCCAACCATTGTCGCTTACAAAATCTACAGTTCCAGGTGGAGTGCCATTTAAGTATCTTGGATTTCTCTTCTTCCGGGGAAATATGAGTGCCGGAGGGATAAATTTTCCAGTAGCGGAACAGCAACATATGGCGGTTACCAGCTGCCCCCTCTCGGCCGATGAAATTGAGCCCACTTGTTTTTTTCCCTTCAAAGAGATAACTTTTGGCGGCCGCTTTGCAGACGTTTGAATACCGGTCTCGTCCACGTTGTATATGCTGTCCACATCGAATAAATATTTTTGCCGAATGTTATTTAGATTATCAAAAAATAACTGCACTTGTGGCCTGTTAAATCCACAAGCCCGGGCAGTGCTTGTAGATTCTGGAGTTCTAAGGCTTAACTCGGGATGTCGCCTCATAAAATTTGAGTACCATTGCTCCCCAGCTGATCCATTACGAAAATTATGTGGCACATTATTTCGAGTTGCGAACTCGAATGCTAAACTGCATAAGACTTAAACGCCCCATAAAAACGGGCGTCCATTTCTTGAATATGTTGTACAAGTTGCTGTTCCATATCGCCAGAAAAAACTGGCCTAAACCGTCCTTAAATGTTTTCGCAAGGTGGGATATGGAATTCGAAACTGCAGAGCGGCACCGCGAATAGATGTTCCTTTTTGGTTAATCGCATTTATTGCGCGATTCATTATATTGTCGTCCCATCCTTGGGCTCTCTCTGTTTTTCGCTTATAATTGAAAACCATTATTCTGAAACAATATTCAATTTTGAAAAAAAAATCAATGTTCAACGAAATAGCGGGAAAAAGGAGCCGGGCAAATATAACCGGTTCTTCTTGCCCGGTTCTTCTTGCCTAAAAGTATGCAACACAAAATACCTATTCGTTATGAATGTCAAACGCTTGAACAGCGCCACAATTTGTGAGGTTAGAATCTACGCAAAACATTTATCTCCACAAAATTTAATGCTTTAACTTATAACAATACTCAAATAATTTCCATCTATTTAAACCATGATCAACAATTCAGGACTGATACATTTTCTAAATTGGCTGTAAAAACATGAAAAATACCGGTATGGGTATCCAAACAAACACTGGAGAAACGCGGTACCTGCCAGAAGTAAATAGGAGATAGAGGCGGGAATTTTGAAACAAAAAAAATTTGAGCTGGTTCTTTTTGCCCATATGGTTCTTTTTGCCCGAGTCTCCCCTACATGTAATGTAGAAATGTACTGATTTTTGTTATTTTGCAAAAAACGGATATAAAATGTATTCCAACTGGTTCATCATTTTTTGTTACAGAAAAAACAATTTTTGAAAATTTATGATCT